CAGCAGGAACAGCCATTCCATGATCATCCTTCTTCTCCACAGTGGTCTCAGTGGGCAAAAAACCAGGAGCTGCATCAGTTCCCAATGCCTCTGCACCACTGAGCCACATACTTGCACTTACAAACCAGTTGCGAGAAGATTTCTGCTTCCGGTTCTTAGACATCCGGTTTTTAGTAACATGCCAATCCATGTGAGTACTGTGTTCTTCTTGACACTTGAACCGAAGGCCACATGTTGTGCATTGTCTTGGCAGATCACCATACAATGCACTGATTGCAGATTCATAGCGCAGCTTGAGAAGGTCAGCATTGAACTCAAGTCCCACAGAATCCTACATATTGAGCCACAAGGTTATTCAGGCTAATATTGCATTCTTTGAAAGAAAGAATGGCGAAGCTATTCAAACAAGTACCTGCACAGGAGATTGTTTTGTCAATGAGATCAAACCTTGTGCCATGAGAGAGTTAAACAAACCCGAAAATGCACTGCCAGATGGTTGGCCGGGGACACTTGAACTAACATTCTGAGAGAAAGGCATCGTTTGGGGAGGAGGACCAGGTGGCAAAGGTGGCCGAAGCCCAACCTGTGAATGCAACATATTTGGAATATTGTTGACTGGTAAAGGCAGCTGTACAGCAGGTAATGCATTTGAAGGAACCATACTAATGGCTGTGCTATGCCCGTGAGTGTTGTATCCATGATTCAGTGGTTGTCCCAGGGGACGAGGTGGCATTGAAGTTACCCCAGATGGATGAAAATTCTCTCGGGTTTCATGAGATGGAAGTTGTTGTGGCTGAAAAGGATTTACATGTGCCTGGTTTTGCTGATTCAAAGCAGCATGCTGATTAGACATTGGTGTTGGCTTCATCGAATTGTAATCTTTGTTCTCAAAACCATTAAATGGTTGTTCGGGCATAGCTGAACCCTTCTGTAAAACCTGATTTATTACAGTGCTGCTGGCATTTATTGGATCAAACTGGCTTCTACTCTGCTCTGGTGGAGGAAAAATTCGATGCACAGGAGGTGGCAGAGACTTTCGTGCATTTACTGGAGGCCAGACCCCTGATGATGGTGGCACAACACTTGACCAGGTCCCTGAACTAGTAGAGTCAATATTAGAGCCCCATCTTGATGCAATGGCAGGAGACCTATTAAGCTGTGCATCAATATCTGGAAGTTTTTCAGCAAGTGGAGAGTAATTCTCACCACCCAAAGAAGACACACCACTTCCAGATAAGGGCATCTGGAAATCCCGTCCTCTTCCTTTAGAATTCAGGAGATGTGCTGACTGATGGATGTGAGGCGGAAAATTCCAGGCTTCTTGATGATGACGGGAACCCAAGATCTGATTTCTCTCAGTTCGGAATCCAGGAATCTTGCTTGTTGATCCACGACCAGACTGCACGAAGCACATCAATTTCTTTTGGACATGAGATCAAAGTTTGAATTTGACTTTCTTTCCCAAGATACGCAAAAACATAATTGAAAACAGAAAGAAAGAAATGTACAGCTTGTTTCCTGGTTAATGACCAACACAGTCAACTGTTTCTTAAAACAAATAACAAAGGGAAAAGATAAAACACATGAAGATGACTTAACTGGGTATCTTCTTAATGAGTTAACTGACAATATAAATAGTAAATTGAAATGCAAATCATCACATAATAATTTGAACTATGACACAGAATGCAGCAGTAAGCTCTAAAAGGTGCTAAATTGCAAGAGAATTGCCAGATGGAGGTAAAGAGGACGGAAAAAAACTCATTTCCAAATAAAGTCTAGTCAAATCCATTAAAAAAATTAACAGCCATATTATAGAAAAGAAATCAAAATACGTATATGGAATCAAACAAGAGCCTAGCTTTTGGACAGTATATGAACAAGTAAATAAACTTAAACAGCAACACATAAGGAAACAAGTTGAGACAGCATACACCCAGAATTGAGACTGCTTCTTCAGCAATATTAGAGGAGCCATCCACAGATGCCATTGGAGCCAGACTAGATCGATTGCTCCTGATATCAGATTCTGCATGGATAGCACTTAGCCTTCCAAAGGCAGGCCTTGGAACAACACTTCCAAAAGGTGGAATAGACGACGGCAAGAAATCATTAGTCCTACCATGCTCTGACAAAGTAGGGCTCATATCTTCCCAATCAAATTCCTCTTCTTCAGTATTCTGCCATGATCTTGAAGCTACCTTATTGTGCATGCCATTTACAGCTAACTGTTCAATATGAAGAGGTTTACTACTTGTAATTCTTTTCCCCCTATCATCCCCATATGCATCTATTAAAGCTCTGGGTCCTTGATGTTCAAGTCCATTGCTAAGCCTATATCTAGCAGAAGGTTCAAATCGGTTATGGTTATCATCAGAGTAGTTATTTCTTCTTAATTCATTTGCCTCCTCATCTCTAACAATGGTTCTGCTGTGTCCATAATCAAATAGAGGACGAGATGGGGATAGCCCCTCAACAAACCTTCGAGGAGAATTCCCTACTGCCAAGTCATCAATTTCTGAAGATAAAGGCCTCTCAGCTCCAGTTGTTAAAGGCAACAAGCGTCTTGCAAGCCTGGAAGTTGAAGATGGTTGCAGCTTATTAGATCCAAGAATGAGTGATGTACGACCCATTCCAACCTGTGAAGATATGGCCTCTGCTTGATCACTTTCATATTCATCATATCCAACAGCAGGTTTTTTACCATATATTTTCAGATTCGAAGTTCCCTTAGTGTGCTGAACATTCTGCAAAGATTGAATTACATTTTTAGCTTTGGATGTTAGTATTGACCAACCTGTCTGCATGCAAACAGATGCACATTGCATTACACAGTACACAACAGAGAATCATCAACAAAATACGACATAATCTCAAAACGTAGCTTGTGTGCTCATTTATTAAACTTACAATCAAAATATTTATTTTGTACATAGTAAACACTAGAGAACCAGCGCAGTACATTAGGAAGAATTTAGCCCAGAAGAAATTCCACAAAGTTGCAAAACAACTAAGATGCTTTCCATTTGAGTGTTATAATAGTTGAGAGCCATGAGAAAGTTAGGTTAAAGAGAGATGCAACATATAAACAAGCTCCAATGAGCTATTGTGCATAATTTTTCTTTGATTAATACTCATCTTGATCTCCACAGTGTACTACTGCAATGTTTAGCATCAAGAGGCCATCTTTATCCACTGATATTTCAGCCTTGAAACATCAAAACGATGACAATTTAACATGGTATATGTATACTCCACTATGAATTCATTTTACTTAAAAAATTAAATTCTAAAGTTTAAAAAGGCCATTAGAAAGACCATATCACTGAACCTGTATTTTAACCACAAATTCCCAGGTGAAGATTCTAAAACAAGAAGTAAATGGTTTCATCAGCAGGACTATAAATTAATAGCTGAAGGCACCAGAGAGAGGCAGAGATTTCATTGGAAACCTTACATTATCTGCAGTTGAATGATCCAGCTGACGCAAGTATTTTGGGTTCACATGTATGCCATGAGGTGGTCTGGGTGATTCCGAAGCTCTAAAGGAAGTCAAGCTTGATGACTGATTATTAACTTGTGGAGAAAAATCAAGTTGAGTCTCAATCTTGTGAAGTACAGAAGAAGGAAACACTGAGGACCATGTGCCAAAAAGGTGGCGCATTGAAGGATATAAGCTAGGGTCAACTTGTCTGTATGCCTCACAAAAAACCTGGTGAGGAAACAAGGTGACAAATATCATAATCATGCAGGATAAGCAATATACAGCATGGAAGATGGCAAGAGAAGAGAGCACAATACTCTGATTAACTCACCTCCGGCAAACGGGACGAGAAGTGCCTAATGTATTCCCGGCCAATATTCTTGACAATGCTATCTAGAAGATATAATGAAGGCAGCTTTTGATCTACGGGGGCCTGCAAAAGATAAAAAGTAAACACAAATGCCCTCCCCTTAGAAAAGAAGGTAAACACAAATGATCTCCCCTTAGAAAAGAAAAGGCATGGATATATGAACTCAATGTTCTTTAAGATAGGGAAAAATGATAAGACAGGGAGAAATGTTCAGACTTTTAAATTGGATAACACAATGAAGATGATTATAATGGTCTCAAAATTCTCTTAACTTCAAAAAATTTGAAAGTCAAACCTGTCTTCAGTTTCTCAAAGTTACGCAATATATCTTTCCTAACTTCAACACTCAAAATATCTTTCCTTAACCCAAATTTATCCAAGGAACCAGACAAGTAACCAAGCAAAAAAACGAATTCATGAAAGTGAGAAATCAAAAGGTTCAAAAACCTAATGAATACAAGTAAAATAAATTGCAGAATTTTTTTTTTAAAAAAAGTAATTTCCTAAAATCCACAGACACACATAAAAAGAACAAGATTTGAAGCCACACCATCAACCAAGCAGCTGGAATCTGAACACTGTAATATTTCAAATTGTTTTTCCTTTCCACTGATTCTACTTGAACATACAGACAAAACCAATAACAAGTAGGGGAAAAAACTAAGACTTTCAATTTTGCAGCCCAACAAAGCCGAAAAGTTATGTCTCAACTAAATTTTATTCTAACTTCTTAATTCTCTCACATTTTCCCAACCAATACAAACATTCAAAAACTCTTAACACACACACAACCCCTGCAAACCACAAAAAAAAAAAAAAAATTCCCCTCTCCCAAGCCTTCAACTAAACCCGCCATCAATAACATAAAAAAAACCAATTTAAAACACCAAACACCAATACCAACTATATCAAAAATACTTTTATTAATAACTAAACCCTAAAACTCACCATTTCTCCCACATTTTACCAACGCCATAACTTATAAATTCATCAATACTAGCAATATTCTCATCCCAATAACTAAACCCTAAAATCCAAAATTAAGCAATACCACCTCACCGATTTTGAGACTACAAGAATATACTAAAATTATCATTATCTCTAGCATTACTCAATATCAAGAACAAAACCCTAAAAAATCCCACACATTCATAAAAAAAAGCGAGAAATAAAACACAGACCTCAACAATGCGGGCACAGAGAACATCAGCAATGCCCTCACCATGCTCCCGCTGCTCTCCAGCAATAATAGTCAAATCAGTAATTATAGGTTTTGAATTAAACGTCAATTCATTCAAAACCGTCTCATAAATCTCCACCACATCCTCCATACTCAAACTCGCCCCGTCACCACCACCATCGTCCTCCACCGCTGATCCTTGTCGTTGCTTCAATAAAGACCGGAACTTGTCAAGAACTGACGATGCTGATGGTTTCTGTGGCAGCAGTTCATTTGGCATGGTGGTGGTAACCGCTGCCGCAGCAGCCGCCTTGGTGGCGGTTTTAGGGTTTAGGAGTTTTGTGGGTTGCATTTGTTGGTGGTGTTACCCGCTGCCGCAGCAGCCGCCTTGGTGGCGGTTTTAGGGTTTAGGAGTTTTGTGGGTTGCATTTGTTTCCATTAAGAGAGAGATTTGAAAAGGAATGTGGAGAATTTGGGTTTATGAATTGGGGATTTTAAGGGGTTATAGCATTAAATTTTTATTTTCTAGAGAGAGAGAGAGAGTGAAATAGAGGAAACAAATTAGAGTGATTCTTTATTTTTATTTTTATTTTTATTTTTATTTTTTTATCTTCTACTTCTTTTCTTTTTTGTTTTAATCATGGAGTTAGTTTTAATATAGTCCATATACTTTATTAATCTAATCAATTGTCCCTATAGTCTCATCATTGGCCATCCAAATTAAGTCATTTTTTAATTGGTAATTGCCATATTTCCTAGTCAAGTTCTCTCATCTCCCTTACTTCTCATTTCTTTATTCTATAATTCAAAAGATAAATAGATAAATAAAATTGAAAAAAAATGAAATTGATGAAAATACTGCATTATAAGGATTACATATAATTTAATCAAGATTGAATATAATTAGATTGATTTTGCTAAACAATTTTAAATTTATAATTAACTCATCTTTTTGTTAAATCATTAAGAGAGAGGCTTAATAGTAAGCCATTAATGAATACTTAAATTGTAACATTCTTCAATTAAGTATTTAAATCAAAGCATTTCTCATTTAAAATTAAAGTGTTCATCATTTGATATGAGTTCAAAAAAATAAAGGGATTGTTTGGCTTTCTATTTTTATCTATTTCAAAATAATTATAACTAATGCTTTTTTTTATTATGATATTCTTAGTAAAAGCATATATTAAAAAAAAACTACTAGGGGTTATTTTAGAAAAGTATAAATAAAATTAATGGATGGTATTCTAAATACATGTAAAATAACATTCTTAATATGTTTGAAAGTTAAACATGATATTTTTTTTTTTTTTTGGATATAGGTTAATGGAAAAATAAAATGCGAGTCATGTTATTAATAATTTAAAATAAAAAAAATAAAAAAATCATTTAAGGAATTAAGAAACTTACTTTTCTTAATACTTCTTTTTTATTTTTTCTTATTTTTCTCCCTAAATATGTCATATATCTCACACGAATACTTAAAAACCTTTTAAAAAAAACCCCAAAACCAAATTCATGTATGGTTTTTAATGATTAAGGATAATATTAGAATCTCTTAAGAACTAGAATGATGATATTAACAAATTCTAAAGAAAAGGTCTTGGGTTAGATCACCGGTCAATCTACGGGGACCAAAATGAAGTTTACACCCGAGACGTTAACGCCTTGTTGGTTTTGTACTTTTGCACCGTGTGCTAGTTATGACCCTTCTATAAATACATTGGTATCCAGCAGTCTGCGCTTGCAGTGACAGAAACAAAGAGCTTGTGGAATTTGGGATGGAAAAAATCTAATCGACTCCTTCTGGATTGAGGATAAATCAAGCTGCCCTCTTCTTTTTTAGGTAAGCCTGCAACTGAACTTCTCAAGTTTTTCCATATTTAGTATCTATGACTATGATGTTTTGCTAGAATGATTTGCCTAGGTTCTTGCAAGTTTTAGTAGTTGGTTGAATTTTGATACTTATTGCTATGTTTTTCTAGTTGGGAAAGAGATATATTATCTTAGATTTGGATTCTTTTGCTGAGTACAAGGAATAGTTTTCAATTTTTTTATGAAAAATTTCTTGAATTGTTTTATATGATTAATGTTGTAGTCTTCCCAAAGTAAGCTTGCTATAATTTGATTTGGTTAGATTAAATTTGCAGCGGTGGTGCCTAGCTAGTGCTTCGGATTTTCATTGTCCTGCTAATTTCTTTCTTTTTTTTATACTGAGATAAATCAAGCTTCTATGATTCTTGGTAGTTTCCTTATTTTGTTTACTTTAGCAAATTAACTGGAATCATGAGTGAAAGTGGTCAGGCCAAAAGCCAGAAACTTAGAACATGGATGATGAAAGGGACATAATAAAAAATCTGCCAGGCACAATGCTTCTGCATATATTATCTTTCCTTCCTGCAAAAGATGTTCTCAAAACTAGCATGTTATCTCGGCACAAGGCCTAAGTCGCTGGATGGCTGAGTCAACCCTTAAATGTTGTTGTTCCATTTTTTTAAAATAAAAACCAAAATGATGTTATTTTGAACAAAAAATTTAAAAAGAAACCCTAAGAGTTGACGTAACTAAGTCTCACTCAGGTTTGGTCGGAGTCAACCAAGTCATGGGTTGATATGTCGGGTCATATAGGTTTGACTGAGTCAACATTCAACCTAGTTCAAAGGGGCTAGGCTCTGCGTTGGCAGGTCACCAAGTCGAATTGTTGGGCTTGGTTGAGTTTAATAACTATTCTCACAAGAGACGACTTTGTTCCTTCACATTTAATCCAATTTTATCTGCTCATGAGTCATGAAAAAATGCAATCCTCACAAACTTGTGTACATGGCTGTTTGGTATAAAAACCAAATATAAATATTTAAAAAAAACCATGTATGATCTGCTTGCATTTTACATTTGTAACCAGGGCTGTGGGCGCCGCCATCCTACTTAGTTCATGTAAGTGGATCCTTAAAGCAAAAAACTGCCTTGCTTTTTAAAACTACATGTGTAAATTACAATGGACTTCAAAATAATAAGCATGGTTGGAAGTAATTTTTTCAACATTTTAGCATGTTAAGATTTTTTTCCAAACATTTTTTAGTAAATTATCTTGACCAAACATGCTGAATTTTGAATTCAGCTTTGATAAACAAATCACCCCGCTTTTACTTGGATGTTTCACGGGTCAAATTGGTACCATTAACATCTGAAGTACTAGTCCTTGCCTACAAAGTAAAACTTTGATTGTTGGCCTAAACAGACATGCAAGCTTGTAGCTATTGAAGTTTGTTTCTAGTTCAGAATTTCTGATGATAGAAAAGGTTAATTATAGAAATATTCATTTTTGTCTGTTCTTATGGAATTTTGTAGTTTAATTAGCTTTATAGCTCTCTCTGTGTATATCTAGAAGCTGTTAAAGTTTGCTTACTCAGTTCTTCGTTTTATATCCAATTTTCCGTGTCTTTAACTATGATGTTTCACTAGGGAACTGGAGTTAGTTTTTGAATTCTTAGTTTTGATGTTGATTAATGATTATGATGTTTCCCAAGAAGAAACAAAGATATTTGCTGAAAGTTGTGCTTTGTCAGTGATTGTAGATAAGAACCTTGTGTATTGGGGTGAAGACATGAAATTGAAAGAATATGGGAAAATTTCAAGGTGGGTTTAAAATGATAGCAAAAATTTAATTATTTGTTTGCCAATGGGAAAAACCCTTTGTATTGATAATGATAATGATGCATATTGTATCATTATTGATTATTGATTATCTTGGAGAAAAGAGTGTAGCTTAGAAGTTGTAGTCTTGGAGGACTGATCATAGTATTCTGTGTATTGGGATAAAGAAATGAAATTGGAGGAAAACGGGAAATTCTTAAAATTGGGTTTGAGACCATTTGTTTGTTTTTTAGTGGATGGAACAATTCTTTTGGATTTTTATTTGTTGACCTTTGTTAATTTTCTCAAAATAAGCTTGTTGCTGCTTGTGGAACTTGTAAATAGGAAAACAATTAGCAGAATGTGCAGACCTTTTATTTCTTATTTAACAGTTTGATTTAATTTCCCGTGATCTTTCTAAGCTCCTTATTTTGTGTACTTTAGTAAGTCAACATAATCATGGATGCAAGTGCTCAAGTAATCCGTGGCAAAAGCCAGAAGCTGGAAAAAGAAGAGGGAAGGAATTTAATCAGAAATATACCAGATGTTATTCTTCAGCACATCTTATCTTTCCTCCCAATGAAAGATGTTGTCAGAGCATATTATCTAAAAGATGGAAAAACCTATGGATGTTGGTCCCCATTCTTGACTTTGAAGAAGAAGGCATATTTGGTGACAGGGTGTATTTCATGAATTTTATCGAAAGAGTTATGATGCTTTGTAATTTCTCAGATATAAGAAACTTCTCCCCTCATGTGATGTGCACTCTGATGCATCTCGCATTAATACATGGATATTTTCTGCACTAGGTTGCAAATTTCAAGAATTGAAACTTGACCTTTACTAACGCAATGCAAACAAGTCATTATTACCTCATTGTCTATTTACTTGTCAGTCATTAACTGTATTGGAACTATACCTATTTCATGATCTTAAACTTCTGTCATCCATATGCCTTCCCAATCTCAAGGAGTTGCAATTGTCATTTATTACATTTGTGGATGATCACTCAACACAGCTCTTTGATGGTTGCCTGAATTTGCATAAGCTGACTCTTGATGAATGCGCATGGAAGGATGAGAAGTTTGTTTTTATTTCTTCTCCTATGCTTAAATTCTTATCTATATATGATCTTACATGGGATGACAGCAGTCCAAATGATTGTCAAGTTGTGACTTGTGGAACAAATCTCAAATTCTTTTCCTTCAGCGGTGAACTCAAAACAGATTTTTGCATATATTCATCCTCACTGGTTAATGGATGTATGGATTGGAGATCAGTGACAGTGTCTGAGTGGTATGGAAAACAAAGGGAAGCTGCTTATCACATGCGTGAGCTTCTTAAGGGGTTCTATAGTGTTGAAAGCTTGACAGTATCACCTGTTGCATTGGAGGTATATACGTTTCCAATTAAGTTGTAATCGAGAACTTGTAGTCATCAAGCTCACTGCTGTTGATTAGATATGTTGAGTTGATGAAACGTATGATGCTTAATTTTTTTTCTTCTTCTGTCAAAAGTTTGTTTCCATTGCTCACTTCCATTATCATGTTTCTAGATTCTCACTCGTGCAGAAGAATTATACCCCCATCCGCCAGTGTTTCGCATACTGAATCTTCTCAAATTTGGTTATGGAACTATGAATTTTGATTATGGAGCACTGCAGAGGTTACTTCATAATTTGCCTATCCTTGATTGTCTTGATTTTGGAACAGTACCTTTTTCTAACCACCCATTATGTTTTCTTATTGCTGAAAGGTATTTTCTTTGGTTATTGATGCTGAAATATATTTTGATTTGTAGGATACTCCCTTGCCTGAAAAATATGGAAAAAAAACTCCGAATTGGATGCAGTACCTCCTTGTTTATTGACACAGCTAGTGACCATCAAATTCTGGAGATTTGCAGCAACTGAAAATTATTTTATTGTTTTTGTAAATTATTTTTATTTAATTTTATAATAATATTAGATATTTTTAAAATGCAGCATTAATTCTAAAAAATATGTTTATTTGAAATCGTAATAATCTTATAGAAAGTAGAAAAAATAAAACATGATTTCTATTATTTATTTGAGATCTAAAAAAAATAAACCATAAATTTTATTTCTCAACTTATTTAATATTAAAGAAGAGTAAAATTAAAAAAAATAGAAAAATTAAACTACCAAAAATTTAAAAAAAATCTGATTTGATGGGTAAATCTGTTAACTTGTAAATCAAATAAACTCGGATTAATATATCAAACTTACAAATGGGGTAAGTTTTTTTTTTCTAAACTATTTTTTATTTAATTATCTGAAAATAAAAATAATCAATTGTAAAATTAAACATTAAATTTATATTGAGATTTTTTTAAGACTATGATAATATCATAAAAAACAAAATAAAATAAATTATAAATATTTTTAATTAGTTCAATATCAAAGAATAAAATAAAAAATAAATTTAAAAGAAAAAAGAAAAATAAGAAAAGTTAAACTTATTATACCCATCAATAAACCTATGGACTTTCTAAAACTTAATAAATTTTTTTATCCCATCAATAAACCTATGGACTTTCTAAAACTTAATAAATTTTTTTTTCTATTTTTTAACTATATGATAAAAAAAATAGATGATCACATAATAAAATTTAACTAAAAAAAATACCTCACTAAACCTTTAAATCGAAGCAACTAAGGTTATTTTGTCAAAGCTTCAAATTAGATTATTAACTCCACAAAATTTAATAACTTATTTTTTTAAATTATATTTTATTTAACTAAAATTTTAAAAAGATAGGCCATTCTACAATGCTCAATTTTTTTTTATATCAACCACCTATGATATTTTTTTATATTGTGATAACTATATAAAAAATAAATTATCAATTATAAATTTCTATAAACATATAGTATAAGAATTAAATTAAAAAATAAATCAATAACCAAAAATAAAAAAACAAAAGGTCAAAATTAAAGAAAAAGACCAACACCACGAATTAGCATTGTAATTGAAAACGGTAATAGGTGTGCCTAACAATGTTTTCCCAACTCCTACTTTTAGCTTTGTACTTAATTTGCCTTGCCAGCATCTCAGTTTTGTATCTACAGAAGCCATAAGGTCCTTTTCCTTTTCTTTTTTTCCTCAAAAAAACATGGCCCTTCTCACTCCAAATGAAAAGGGCATGAATATTTTCAATCTTTCTTTAAGTTCCATTAATGTGATTGCTAAAGTTGAGCAATGCTTAAATACGTCTGTCATGGGGAAATGTTTCATTAAGTTGTGTTGTATCATTACAGAAACAGTTTGCAGATCCCAAAAAAAATAATTTAAGCACTCTTTAATTTGAATCTTCCCTCTGTACATGTGCGTGTATGTATTCTACTGTAAAAACAACCCAATGCCCTCCACAAATCCCTAAGATTGTTGTCTGAAGGCCCATTTGTCATGGTAGCTGCCATTGCTAAATCCTTCCATCCTAGGCGTTCTTTCTCAGCCTTTCTCCTTTCTCTCCCGTAACAGATTCCATGCAGGTCTTAATTTCACCACCTTCAACTATCCCATCTTCATTTTTTGTGACCCTCACCCCTGTTTTCCAGACATCTTGGATAAGCATGGCTATTGTCACTTGATCAGTCCGCTGCGGAAATGCCGCCATGGGGACCCCTAAAACAATGCTTTCCAAGCTTGGATTCCACCCACAATGCGTCATAAAACATCCGACAAAACTTCAACTTGGGAACACCATGGCACTACAGCTCAGTTTCTCTTCCTCGTTGTCGCCGTCCTTCCCCATTCCTCTGATAACCCATAAGAATGGGCGGCCAGTATCTAGCAATCCATGAGCAATCCCCTACATTTGTCTCTTGGATAACACGGAGATGCTTCCAAATGATACGTAGATCACAGAGGATTCATCCTTAGAGTCCAGCCATTCGACGTAATCGTCTTCTGGATGTACTTGGAAAAGATCTCTTCCAAAAGAAGCATCGGACGGATCTTTTCCATGAAGAAAAGCTGAAGGAATCAAAGGCCCTATCCCTTTCATAGAAAACTTGTCAATTGATCTAATTATTTAATTAACTGTAATCCAAATTAAGCTCTTGAAAATTTTGATGTTCACTGTCTAGCTAGACCATCCAATATATTGTTGCAATAGCCTTGAATGGGCATTAATGGGAAAAAAAACAATGTTATGTTCCATGGTATAGAGAGAAACTAAAACAGTAAATTCTATTGGAAACTGAGATTATAACAAAAAACATCACTGTGGCTCGTGCTGCTCTAATATTTTTTTAAAAAAAATATATTCAAGTTTTTTAACATATTTTTAAATATAAAAAAATTCAATTAACCAAAATGCCTATAGAAAAGAAAATGAAGAAAAAAACCTGAAGATTAATTTCAAAAATTTAAATGTTAAAGAATAAAATGTTTTAAAAAAAATTAAATAAAAAATTTAAAAAACACTAAAATCAACGCTGAGAATATAGTAATGAGGCCATGATCGACCATATAGAAAGTAAAAACAAAGGAAAACTCAAAAAAATAAATGCTTTACGAAAAGAAGGATGAGAAGAGAGAAAAGAAGAATAAGAATAAAAAAGTCACCTGAAGTTGAACTGCCATGTTGTCATCAACATACGTCACACTACAATGTAGAGGATGACAACATGATTCCAACACCAGTGTGGATGATGACTTTTGACAGTCGGATGCCATTGCATTTGTAAACACCTTTTTCTCTTTATTGTATTTTATCCATATTAAAAGACTAAAGCACTCTTGATTATTACCAAATGCCATTGCATTTGTAAACACCTTTTTCTTTTTATTGTATTTTATCCTTATTAAAAGACTAAAGCACTCTTTATTCAACATGATTATTACCAAAAAAACCAAGCATAAATGATTAAGACACCCCTTCATAAAAGTTTTAAACATTTGTGAATCAAAGAGCATTTAAGTAATTTTAGTATGCATAGAAGTAACTTTTTCTAACATTTTATCATTACTAAATAACCAAATTGCCCATATGCGCTATAACAAAAAAAACCCGATATTTTATTTATTTTATTTATTATTTTAGAGTAGTTAAGTAATTTAATTGTTCTGAGAAAATAAAAATATAAATAAAGACCCTATACACCAATTCATTTTTTTTTATTATTTTTAAGGTTATTTTACCCCTCAATTATAGTTAAATGAATGGTTTCTTTAGGTGTAAAGTGGCGTTTTTTACTGTAAATTATTATAGCCGAAACCCCACGTGTTTTAGTATTATCTATAAGCCTAAATGTTTGCGTCTTATTGTGGTGCTATAAATTTATTTTTCAAGAAGTGATGTTTATATGTGACTCGGGGTATATCCCTGAGTAAGTTGATTTTATTTTAATTTAAAAAATAAAAAATAATAGTAAATGGATCAAACTTAAAAAGAAAAGTAATTAGAAAAATTTAAGGAAAAAACATTTAAAAAAAAAACAAATAATATATCTCAATTTAAAACTTATTAAATATAAAAAAATATAAAAATTAAAAAAATATATAAAAATTGATTTTAATCATTATAAATTAGCATAATAAACCTGTAACCTTAACAATTAAAGCTGAAACAATTATGGATATCTCATTAATCTCGTGCTCAAATCTTCAAATTAGAATTTGATATATATATATATATAAAAGTTGACTTAATAATAATAATGAAGAAACCATTATAAAAAGATGGAAAAGCCTATTAACTCTAGTTTTAAAATTTTTATTTTAAATGATATTTTAATTATTTTACTGTATTTTATAATTATTTATGTTTTTATAATTGGTTAAATACCGAATTAGTATTAACATTATAATAATGATATTATAATAATTTAAAAATATATATGTTTAAATCAATTATATTTATAAAATATGACTAAAAAAAAGATGTTATAAATTTAACCTACGTTAAATTCTGTTTCTTATTAATAATTTACAATTAAGGTCTACTCCTATTTTTTTTTTTTTTGGAAAACCTAAATCTAAAATATATTAACAAGAAAACAACTTTTAACATTAAAGTTCATGCCTTCAATTTAGCAATGTCTAAATAAATTTAGTAATAATTCTGAAATGACTTTCCCTATTTATTTCGTCCTTTTCTTTTCCGAAACATAGTTTCTTCTTTCTTTATTTATTTGTTTTTGGTTGATGGTCACTACGAGGACGATTCTTTGTTCTGTACTTTGTGGATCACCGTTCCCCAATTTATTTATTTTTTATTTCTCCCTGTTTCGGAGGTTCTGCAACCATCTTTATCTGCTGCAGGCTTTGACTGCCTGGAGAAACCAGCAAAGCCATGAATCGCTAGCTACTGTAGCTTTATGGTAAAGAACAATAAACATGCACAGACTACCTTGTTGTCCCTTTCTGAACGAGATAGGGCATTTTAGAGACCACCACTCCTTAAAAAGATCGAGCAGTCTCATCGATCCAATATATATTCTCATTCTTTCTTCTGAGCATGCCAAGACAAGCTCGAATGAAGAAAGAAAGAAAGAAGTTTAGGGATTCCTTCAAAGGTAGAGACAGCTCAGAAACCAAGTTGCCCATTTCTGATCCTTCCTCTTTCGGAAAAAGTTGAGTTATCGAAAGCTATTTTATCATCATGACCAGATTCATCTTTCCCAATCCATAATAATTTTATTTCTAGTCCACTTATCCTATATTCAAGTATAATTCAAAGACACCTTTTTAGTTTCGTTTCTTCTCTTGAATGCACAGCAATAATATACATACCAGTAACAGGAGTTCATTTTATGCTGCTAAATCATATTATATTAATATTATGCATAGACTAACCAAATTTAAACTATCTCATCAATTTAAAACGCTATTCCAACAGCTTGTTTGTATTAGTTATTAATAGAGTGAAGATTACGTTCAGAATCAGTTAACCTAATTATAGTTAAAAGGGATATAGTACTTTCTTTAATCAAGAAAATCAAATACTATTTTATAAAATCAAGCAAGACATATTTGTTTTGTTGGTCTAGCAAGTTTATTAAGAGTTTTTTTTTGTTTGTTTCTAAAATGGTTTTTAAAAAATTAATATTTTTTTATTTTTTTCTTCAAATTAATATTTTTTTTAATTTTCAAATCATTTTAATATATTAATATTAAAAATAATTTTTTTAAAGTAAAAAACACTTTAAAAAAAAAATAATTTTTTTAAAATAAAAAACACTTTAAAAGTCATCCGTACACAAACACCCCTTCATTTATATATCTTCTATAGTTCGGTGATATCTTCTTCTCTTCTTTTTTTGTTTATGTTTGTAAATATCCATTTTTGTGACTTTTAACTCTAGTTTATAATACTCTTACTGGTGCTAAAATTATCATATTTGTTATCTATACTATTGATTAAAAAAGAAAAATGATTAGACTTTCAAATGTTATTGTTCTTTTAACGATCGATTCCTTATAGAACTCATAATCATAAGGCATGTAATGTTCCATTTCATTTGGTTCAGATTTATCTGTTTTTAATAATTCTGAAATGATTTTTCCTATATGACAATAAGAGTTTCAGATTGGAAAAAACAAAAATAAATATGCACACACTATCTTATTATCCCTCACGGCGTGAGATAAGGAATTTTGGAGACCACCACTCCTCAAAAAGATCAATCCCATCCTATATTATTCTTATTCTTTCTTCAAGATAAGTTTGAATGACAAAAAAAAAAACAAAACAAAAAGGTTATTCAAGGATTCTTTTAAAGGTAGAGACAGGCCAGAAACCAGGTTGCTAATTTTTCTATTATTAATAGAGTAAAGACTACGCTTCATTCAAGTATGTGCTAGGGACTCCAAAGATTTTAAATTTAGGCGATACTAGCTTGGTGTTTGAATTTAGATTTTAGATTTGGACGATATGATGAAATTTGTGCATAAATATTTTGTTTAAAATATGATTTAGTTACAATGATTTGGATTAAGCTTAGCTTCGATTTAGTAAAATAAATATCACTTTGTTTTTTTTTCTCTAATTATAATAGGCTATATGTGGTTATTTAACCTCCCCATCTTTTGGAGAGGTTAACGTTGTTCAAATCCCCACATCCTTTTTTACAATTAATGTAGTTAATGTGGCATTAAAGGGAGTTTTTGTTTTTCTATTATTAAAAATGACATGTTTTCTTTTTATCTCTTCTTCCTTTCCTTGAACTGTTTAAATCTTCATGTGCTATTCTGTAAAAGAAATATCTGAATTTAAAAGTTTAAGTTATTAAATAAGATTTTAAGATATAATTTATATTCAAAAAATAGTCAATATATTCATTCTAAAAATATGATCATAAAAATATTTTTTTCTATAAACACCCCCTTTTTAGTTAGAACAAATTATCATTTTCAAAAATCATCTTAAAACTATTTTTGTTCCATAATATGTTAAACATTAAGTTCTTTCAAATATCAATACCATAAAATACAATGTTAAGGATGACAAGTTTTTTAAAAATTATTTTTATAGTGACCTTTTCAATAATAATTATCTTCAAGGTTAATGAATTTTTCATTTATAGCTATTTATCATCAACATTATTATAAATAAAGAACATTTTCAGCACTCATGATAGTTGATCAGGACACTTATAAACAAGTTAATTTTAACACTTTATTCTAGAGGTTATCAATGTCAATAATATTGGCTTAGGTAACCATTTTTTCTTAAAATTGTCTGTTGAGATTTATTTTTATAATCCTTTACTTGATATGTAGTCTTGTTGTAAATAAAACATTTTCCTTTGAATTTCATAGCAATAAAACATTTACTTTTAAATTTCATAGCAATATATTTGCCCTTCACAATAAGACTTTTCTTTTGGTTTTTATTATAAAACTTCCCCATTTGTTCAATAGTATTTTCTATAGAACATTAAAGAAGAATTGGCTATCCTTTCAAAAAATATATTCTCCTAATCTATCTTCAACCTTAAAATAAAATTTTAAACTACAATCTCTTTTCTCTTATATTTAAGAAAGTTCATAAAATCTTTTTAATATGGTTATAATTTTTTTTAATAATAGCACTCACTTAGAAAGATTTATATTCAAAACCAACTCTTCAACATAAATATTATATAGGATGAGTTAAAACTCTTGAACTTGATTTATTATATTCTTTTAATTAACTATATTAAAGTGATTTATTATATTCTTCTAATTAACTATATTAAAGTTAAGAATTTTTTCGATTATGAATTTTTTTATAGTAGCATCTTCAACTAACTTTATACTTTTGACCAAAAGCTTCTTATTATGCCTTTGCTTTATTAATGGAACTATACCCTTATAGAGTATATAGTTTTTCCCTACTAAATTGCATTGCACCAATACATCCATAATTGACATTATATGAGGATCAGATTTGTCATGTGATACCCATTATAGAGTATATAGTTTTTCCCTACTAAATTGCATTGCACCAATCCATCCATAATTGACATTATATGAGGATCAGATTTGTCATGTGATAGCTTTGATGCATTTTAAATTAAAAACTTTTTCAAATTCAAGAACTACATTTCATGTTCCCACCTCTTAAAATTCAAACTATTAAATTGCCCAGGTTTTTCACCATGAAGATGATGGTGAAATCTCTTTACTCAAATAGAACTTTTCTTTGCAGCAATTGTAGGAGCAACAATCTCTTTGGTAGAAGTCAAAATTATTTTTATTGTAAATAAACAACAACCATGCATCACATTCGGTGAAAGGTAGTGGAATCTTTCTATTGGTGGGAGTGAATTCTAAATTCCCACAATTGTGTAGAAGGTAATATGTGAGCATGTCCTATTGATTTGACAAAAGAAGAATAATCAGAGGGTTAACGCTGGGCTTTTCTTCTATATAATTCCAGTGAGGCCTCTACATTTCTTCATTCCATTGCATCCTTATCAGTTATCTAGCCATCGAGGTCTCTTATCTCTTCTGATAATATGAATTGCCTTCAAGAAAACTTCTTTGAAACACCCGTTCATTTATTTTCTGGTTTTGCTCCCCGTAACCGAAAAGTCGTTGAAACACCAATTCAGTGCTCTACTACTGCTTTTTATAAATTCTTCAAGAAACAAGCAAACTTCTTACCGAATGTCTGCGGTTCTATTGTGCAGACAGTAGGACTTGCTGACGGTAACAAAAGCTGGGTTAATACTGTTGGCTCTCGCAAGGTGATTGAAATCCTGTCTGCCGATTCTTGCCGTGGTACGTACGAGATTAATTAATTCAGGATGCAATTACAATAATATTACAGTACTGATCCATTCGATAAATGATTTGAATTCTAGCTATAATAGATCAAATTCTGATTAAAATTACTTGGACATTTATAAGCTAGGCATTGATTTTTTAATTATGATCAGATACCGCGGAGAAATTCAAGTACATAGTTGAAGCCGTTGACGACCGCTCCAGGAAAATCACCTACAAATTGCTGGAAGGATCGTTGCTGCAATTATATGACAACTTCACCGTCACTCTACAGGTTACTTCTGCCAGCACCGCAAAATGGACCATCGAATATCAGAAAAAAAAGCCAACCAGCGAAGACCCTGATTTTTACCTCAACCTTTTTCCTACTATCAACGCTACTGTTGATATTTACCTTCGTTCTAATGACGACTAAACATAGCCAACATCACAGAACATGCCCTTACTAGTGTCTGTATTGAGGAATAAAGAGTTCAAAGGAGCTTAATTATATGCATGCATGTTCCCGCCCACTTGTATACAAAGATGTAATACATATGTACCTTTTGGTTTGGCTTGCTAGGCTACCATATATATTCACTCACATGACAAGACTGGCTCCTTACATGCTTCCCTTCTATGGAGGTTGTAGCATGAAACGGCGATGCCTTCTGATATTGTGGGTATTTATGTAATCAAGACGGTCATCCCTCTATGTATCTTGTCTGTGTCGATATTGAATAATAATAATGTGTGCGCTTTAATCACTAAAATTCAATGTGTTTTATAATAATAATAATAATAATATATGTTCTGGAGTGAAATGAGCTGCCTTGAATCTTTTCTAATAATTAATTATAGTAATTAACAAGAATAAAATTATGCAAAAATAATATTTAATATTTTAGAAAGTTTTAAAAACTTTTTAGACCCACCAATAGCGTACACAACCAGAATGAGATGGAATAGAGCCATCCCTCTTTCCACGCTTTCAGCCTTTGGAGAGCCATCACTACTGGACTCTGTTGCATCTTCTTCTTCCTCCAGCATGAGGTTAAAGGCCTTCATGTTGTACTCAATAGCGTCAAAGACTGGAAAATGCAGAGGATCATGCTCCTGTATAATAACATGGTAATCAGTTCCTCTCAGCTTAAAATTTACCGACTCCTTAATGAACCTGCTTTGTCTTGTTCCAACTAAAATGTTAATAAAGACAAGACTGCTGTATCAAAAACTAATCTTGTCAAAACTAATTCTGCCCTATGGTGACAGAATCTTGTTGTTGCTATTTACCTTCCAATAAACAATTGGTAGGTTAGTGACCTCAAGCCAGGCAAACCGATCGATAGGACCATCCGTCAATGCTAGGCCTTAATTCACCAAAGTAAACACTCCATGGTGCTATATCCATTTCAATGCTTCCATCATAATACCATAGGAATCAAATGATATGAGAACTTGTGTGGCTATTCCTTAGTATTAAGTAAAGAGTCCACATATATGTAAATACATTATATAGAAATAGTTATCATATGTAATACATTTCATTATTGTATTGTATACAACCCTATTCCATTATTGTATTGTATACAACCCTAAAGACGTAGCACATATAAAACATAGCATTCACATACATTTTTTTTTATATTTTTATTATATCTTCATCTATCCTTATAGAAAGACATACCATTATTTTTATTATATTTTCATCTTTATATTTTCATCAATCAAATGAATGGAAAAATGACCCTCATGGGTTTCCAAAGTGGTAAAAGAAAATTGGAAAGGGTTTTTGAGTGCCCCCCATTTGAAGGTCCACCAAATACCCTAATTCAATACAAGCAAAATATGACAAGACTTTGAATAGGCCATCAAAGAAATCGCAATTGATATTGTCCATGAGTAATAAACACAATTAAATCTAATAGACTATCAGCTAGCATATACATGTCGCCAAAACTAAAGGTTTTTAACACCATAATGAAATAAATTCAACTAATAAAAAGTGAAAATCAATGCAACGACCTTAGATGTATTTCCTCTACCACTACTTATGAACCGTTCCTGCACGCGGTTGTTAATCCCTGCTATCTCCTTGGCCGGAAGAGCACAGAAGCTGGTCCATGAAATGAACCCACAACCACTTGAATATATACGTATCTTCATGCGTGATATTTTGGATTTGTTTTGATGGCACGTTGCGAACGCCGTGGCCCATTTAAAGTCGTCGCATATAAACTGAAGCTGTCTGACAGTGTACGTGGGTTATGGTTTAAACGGTCTTAATATTATTATTAACATGTTATTAAGAAGGGAAAAAATAAAAAATCTTACATTGAAAGCTAGGCCTGGTACTTCCAGGTAAACAGATCCTGCTGTAAAGAAACCTCCTTTTAAAATGGCGACATCATGTTTGATGAGCTCACATCTTTAATGGATACTTATGTCATAGATGCTTTGTACTTGATTGGAACCTCACGACTAATGGTAGCTAGGATCGCTACTTGAGATTTAGAGATTTTCAAACCCCTCCCACCAAATCAAAAAAGAATTTAATAAAAAAAAATTCAATTGTTCATTCCAACATTTAAATTTTAAAAACTTAAAAAAAAGCACATGCTCTTTAATCATTAAAGAACAGAAAAAAAAATCATACAACATTCATACAATCTTTAGAAAACAGGAAAATTTTTAAAAAATAAAACAAAACTCATACAATTATTAACATAAAATTTTGAAAAAAAAATCAAAATATAACGCTAAAAAATCAAAAAAATTGTATTACTTTAATGTCATTGTGAGTGAACATGAGAAGAGGAAAAAAAAATTCAAACGTGATGTTAAATAACAAAGAGAATAAGAGATAAAGAAAATAGAAAAAGACGAGGAGAGAAGAGAATGGGTCGATGAGAGAAGAAAAGAAAGAATAGAAAGAAAGATGAAGATGGAGAGAAGAAAGAAGAAAGAAGAAGATGTAGAGAAAGAGAAAGGTTGTGTTAGAGATTTTCTGTCATTTAATTTGGGGGATTTTTAATGAAATATTTTTTAACAAAAAAATAAATATTAATAATTTTAATTTTTTTTTAGTGTTTGTATTTGTAATGTTTAAATGAAAATTTTAATTTAATAAAAAAATTAGAAAACCCTCCAATATTACCAATGAATTTTTAGTTTGTTGGTGATCACATATAAAAAACTATAATTAAAACTATAATTGAAAAATGAACAATTCCAAAGCTTTAAAAAAAAATCAATAGATATTAAACAGCTAGTGATCTTGTATGCAATGAATACTATGAACAATGTAACTAAGAAATGAACTCCAAAACTCTTAGAAAAATACCGATGAACATTACTCGTTAGTGATCTAGTATGTAATGAACAATATGAACAGTGCAATGAGAAGTGATCAGTTCCAAAACTCTCTGAAATATACCATCAAACTTAATCTATTGGTGATACTATCTATATTAAACACAATGAACAATGTTAGAGAGAAGGGAATAATTCTAATGTTTTCTAGAATATACTGATATACTTAATTCACTAGTGCATTTGTTGATATTTTACGGTCCATTAGCATTTTCATCGATGTAAAATATTTTTTGTTGCCAAATTATATTTGTATTTCTTATTTATTCATCCTTCAAATACTTAAAATCATAATAGCACATACAACATCAATTTTATATATAATATTAAAATCACATAAAATAAATGTTTCCTTATCATTTAATAATAAATTCACATCATTGACTTAAAGTTAATTTCATCTAGAAACATTACATTATAATTTATGTTATTACACATTCGTGTTATATAAATTAATTAGAACTGTCTTTTTTTTCCTCTTCATTTACATCATTGTCATCTCCATCACAATCTTACACATTGATTTCATTAATATCATCCTCTTCATCAACTTGTATATGTTTGTTAATTCTCAAAACATTATTTAATTCTTCATTGTCAACATCAATGAAAATATTCTCAATGATATGAAAATTTAAATTTTTTTTTTAAGTAATTAGACAGAACAACTCGATATGGATCAATTAACTCATAAAGTCAAAAGACATCATCTTTCATAATTAATTCATTGTTGTCATCTTTAACAACCTGTATATGACCCATAGGTTTGGTTCTCACTATGGATAAATCAATCAATTCTTGAAAGAGCATTTATAAAGAAAATGGTGTATGTGTAATAAACTTGCTAGCATGGCATAATAAAAACAAAGACATTACCAATATTAGAATAAAAAACTTTATTCTACTTGTTATGATATCTTTTTACTTCCTATAACAATCAATTTTAAATTCATTAGAAGTTGATCCCTTAACACAAATGTTCAAATTCATTAGAAGTTGATTTCTTAACACAAATCTTATTATTATCTGTCTTTCTATCTTGATCCTACTTTTTAGTATGAAACACGTGTCTATAGATAAAACACATGTTATAGCACTTCACCTTTTTTTAGAATCTAGACTTGGGAATAATTTTGTTGGTGGTTACCGATAGATACAACTAGGAAAAATTATGTTATTATAAATATTATTATTCTTTCTGTCCTTTCATATTTTTTGTAAACTTTTTCTCTTCTTTCAAATCTTAGAGATTGAAATGTAAATCAAATAAATTTCATGATTGGAACATAAAATCCTTGGAAGAGAAACCAAAACTAAAGAGCAAACAGATTTAGGGACTAAAGTAAACATATTTGCACTCCATGAATTGTTAATTTTTTTAAGGAAGCCTACCTCTTGGTTTCTATTTTAAATACTTAAATGTAGATATTTTATTTTTTTAATTCACAAAACTAAACAATAATTTACAAAATTAAGCATCGATATCATTGAAAACATCTTTTTACATCATGAAAAAGATGTATGACATGACCCAAAACAAATTATTATTCTTTTAGAAATGTACCATTTCATTGGGTTCAGATTTATTTGCTTTTAATGATTCTAAAATGACGTTTCCTATATTATAGAATAAGAATTTCAGATTGGAAAAAGGTAGTAAGACGCGACCCTCTTTACCTTAAGGCTTTGATTGACAGGAGAGACCAGCAAAACCATGAATTGCTAGCTTGTGTAACTCTATGGTAAAATTGTCTTGTTGGAAACTAAATTGTTACTTCAAAATTATTTAGTCATAGTTTGAATGTTTTCTGTGCATATATCGTGTTAGAAACTTAATATAAAAAATATTAAAATAATATCGACATGCAAGCACCTGACACAAAATTAATTAATACATCAGTATTCCAACAACAAAACTAACTTATATGATCATGAGTACAAGAACTCAAATAACAAAACCAATATAAATATTAATTTTTAAAAAAAATAAAAGAGTGTAAATACCTCAATTGTTGTATTCTTTTATAGATTTCATAATCGTTGCCTTCATTTCGTTCAGATTTTATCTGCTTTTAATAATTCTAAAATGACTTTTCTTATATGATAATAAAAATTTCAGATAATAATTTTATTTCCATTCCAGCAAGTTTAAACTAATAATTAATTTAAACCACTATTCAGAAACTTGTTTTTATTAGTAGTAAGGACATAGCTGACTTAAGATGAGTGAAAGACTTGAATAAAATTATAAATAAAATCTTTTAAAATATTTAAGATATATATATATCTGACAAATAAAGGTCTTGAGCAATCTTCATTTTATAATTTAGATATTTTATGAAGTAAAATAATTTTTATTTCATAAAATATAAGTAATAAATATATTTTATTTATTTTTATAGTGTTTTTTGTTAAGTGAAAGTCTTGAAACATTACTCAAGTGATCCTTAGAGTATTGAATTAGTCTTTAATCGACAAAACCAAATTCTTAGAAAATCGAGCATCAATACTATGCAATATATCCTTTTACTGTGGGATAAGGCTCGAGACAAATTATCAGACCAGCTGTTATTATTCGTTTTTTTTTTTGTGGATAATCAATGTTTTTATTCTTTTCAGCGATAGATTCCTCGTGGATCTCATAATGATAATGCATGTAACGTTCCACTTCATCTGGTTCAGATTTATCTGTTTTTAATAATTCTGAATTGACTTTTCCTATATGATAGTAAGAATTTCTGGGTGGAAAAAAAAGAAGACGCGACCTTCTCTTTACTTGCAGGCTTTGATTGACGGGAGAGACCAGCAAAACCATGAATTGCTAGCTAGTGTAACTTTATGGCATGAGATAAGGTATTTTGGAGACCACCACTCCTCAAAACGATCAGTCTTATACCATGCTCTTATTCTTTCTTCTATGCATGCCATATCAAGTTCGAATGAAAAGAATAAAAAAAAAAGAAAAAAAGAAGAGATTCATGAGCATAAAAAAAAAAAAGAAAAAAAGAAGAGAAGTTATCCAACGATTCCTTTAAAGGTAGAGAAGTTTTTAATTCCTGTATTCTTATTCTGATTTCTCCTTTTGGATAATTCATGAGCAGATTCGTCTTTCCTAATCCATAATATTTTAATTTCTATTTCACCCCACATCCACAAGTTTCACTTATTCATAATTCAAGGATAATTCTTAATCATGCTTTTGGTTAATAGAAAATGATATTCAAGTGTAATT